TCCACAGCCACAAGGAACCTGCCACTTCCATCCCAAGGGAAGTACAAGATATGACCTTGGTTGATCATTGGTGAATAAGCTAGTTGCCTAGCAAGTTCAGAAGTTCAAGGAAAAAGCCCTCACACTCTTCATTGATTTATATTTTGAAGTTGTTAATCTTATAATGCAGTTTTAGCTTAGAATAACAAAGAATTTTCTACTACATAGCTGCTGCCAGCTACCAAACAATCATAAATTTTCATATGTGTATCAACAATGAAATGCTATATTATATGATTTGTTATTACTGGTATAGCACTGGTATCCAGCATATTTAAAATTAGACAGAGCACCTTATAATGAATGAGATTTAAATAAGAACAACCGCATTTTCAAAAATCCCAATTTACATCAAAATTATTTCACAATATTACACAAACTTGATAGTCTTCAAAAGAACCTTTCCTCATTTTGAACAAGTAATTGTTTCTATTTTGACAAAGAAATAGAATTAATCAATAATAAATTTCTAAAGGTTTCTAACTAAAATCACACTAATAAGATACTACAGATAAATGTGCATCTTTATCTCATTGAAATACTATTAACTTGAAATAAGTTTTTTAGAAAAGAGAAATCCTTTTACTTATTCTTCTTATGTTAGTTTAAGTACTCTTTTTTATTATATTTTTATTGTGAAAATACTGTACAGAGGGGTTATAATTACATGGGCAAGATAATGAGTACATTTCTTATGAAGCATTGTAGCCTCCTCCTTTCTTTCCCCTTCCCATCCCTCCCCATCCTCCCCCCCCAATCCTCCCCACCCCCCCCACACCAAAGTTGTAAAGTTCGTTTTCGACATAACGACTTGTTTAAGTACTCTTTTATACAGCAATTTTTTGCTTCTGACTCTGCCATTTCTTCTACTTTATCTTTCTTATCATAAGGTGAATATGTGAAGAAAGAAGAGAATTAAACACAACACTTTTATATTAAATTGATATTTGATTTTCTTTAAGAATCATGAAAACTCGGGCTGGGAAGGTGGCTCAGTGGTAGAGTGCTTGCCTTGCATGCATGAGGCCCTGGGTTCCATTCCTCAGCACCACATAAGCAGGAAAAAAAAAAAAAGCCGGAAGTGGCGCTGTGGCTCAAGTGGTAGAGCGCTAGCCTTGAGCTGAAGAGCTGAGGGACAGTGCCCAGGCCCAGAGTTCAGGCCCCACCACCAGACCCCCCCACCCCCTGCAAAAAAAATCATGAAAACTCTACTACATTCTGTTTTGAACAATGTTAAATCAACATTTAAATAAGTTAGCATGGTCATTGCCATTTATTAATTAAGCTAAATCTTATCAGTAATTTCTTAAGTATCATGAAATGATGGAAAATTTAACACTTGTGGGACAAGTTTTAAGACACCAAGCCATTCTTTGCCATGGATCATGCATTGACTTTGTCTCTAGATGAGTTTTGGTGCTCTGCTTTTCTTATTTAACAGTCTCATAAGAATGTTGCAAACTCCTATATAGTCTTCATAACAATTATGAAAATAGGTTGAGTTAGACATACTTCTTTCTTCTCCTGCTCCAATTCCTACAATCCGGTTTTTTAATCCATATTTTCACTTATATAGTTTCAATATCAATCTCTATTTGGTGGAACCAGGGGCTGAATTCAAGGTCTAGTGATTGCTAGGCAGGCACTCGATCCCTTGAGTGATGCAATGCTCCCAGCCCTTTGGCTTGGATTGAAATCCTCCTATTTAAGCTTCCTATGTAGCTGGGATGACAGGTGAGCACCACCATACACCACTGGTTGAACATAGGGGTCTCATAAACTTCTTGCTTAGGCTGACTTCAAACTTGTATCTTCCTAGTTTCTACCTTCTGAGTAGCCTGGTGGGCCTTCTCTTAGTTTTGATGTTTGTCACTTCAGATAAATTCTCTGAAGTACAGAAATACAAATATTTTACGACTACTATTATTGACAAAGTGCTTTCTAAATTTCACACATTGCTGATAATAGCAGCACAAGTTGCTATAACATATATACCTGGACCACTTGACCAGCAGGAATGTTTTATATTTACAGAGGAGTACGAATTTCTTGTGGATTATTCATACCAGTAACTTAATGTTAGCATTACTTTAACCCACATTTTTAATGCTATTGTTATTCACTGCTTCCTACTATGTGGATTCTCTTTGAGGAAACAATGTGTTTTTAGTCTTTATTTAGAAAAAATTCTATACTATATTAAATGTGTTTTTTTCTAATACAAATTGGTATTCTCTTTCTGTGGGTTGGGAACTGTTATCAGGTAAATATACTATTTTTACATAATTTTTTTATTGAACACATTTTTAAACAGATTTAACAGATTTTTAAGTTGAGTTTATTTTTTCCAATTTTTTCCTATTATTTTCAAGCGTATATAATAATCCTACCATGTATTCCACAATACACATCTTTGCTCATCAATATTTTAAAGATTTATCTGCTTAATCTCTCTAAAACATGTTTTTTTCAAATGTTATGAGATAGAAGTCTAAATTTCTTCCTTTTGAAATTTGCAATAGATACAACTATTTACTTAAAAATCTTTTTCTTTTCCAATGTTCAGTAATGCTCATTTTCTTATATTAGATGATTATATGTGACATAGTGGGATTTTCTATGCTAGGCAAATAATAGTAGGAACAAAACTCAATTATGATTTTTGTTGTTTTATTTGTCTTTTTACTATAACTTGATAGCTAGAATGGTTTCTCAAAGTTTATGGCTTATTTCTAAAACTATCCTATTGTTTTCATTAATTCCTCCAAAAAAAATTGGGTGGGGGGCATTGGTCAGGGCATGAGGGCTACCACTGAGTTCTTTTGCTCAAGGCTAACAATATACCACTTTAAGCCACAGCACCACCTCTCACTTCTGGTTTTCTGGAGATAAGAGTCTCATTGACTTTCCTGCTGTGGCTGGCTTAGAACCAAGATCCTCAGATCTTAGCCTCCTGAGTAGATAGGATTACAGGCATGAGCCACTGCCACCTGACTTCAAATAGAAATTAACATTCTTTTACATTTAAAGAAAATCCAGTTAAGAGTTTTATTGAGATTGTACTGTCATACTTACACATGAGCCTAAAAAAAACATTAGTAGTTATATATCTTTATATGCAGAAATATAATTGGAATCTTTAATAAGTTGTCTTTTCTAACTCTCAGTAAATAATATTTTAAAGATTTGTATAATAATGTAGAATTTAGGAGAAGAATGACATAACAGGAAAAGTAATAACCAGGGTAGGGAACAGGTATATAGATTTAGGCTCAGGTCCTTGGTGATCCTGGGCTAGGCTCCTAGGTTCTCTGAACGCAGATACCAATCAGGTTGGGTATGTATCTAATAAACATTAAGTCCGATTATAACCTTTAATCTAAAATATGTCCCAATGCTTTCGCATCCACCATTTGCTCCACTTGAGCATAGTGAAACCCTATGAGATGATAGTGTTGTTATTACTACTAGCATTAAGACAAAAATAGTAAAGATCTGTCTTTTTTTATTGAAGATCTGTCTTTTTTAAAATGAAAAACACAGGCTCTTTTCATATCATCTGGGTATGTATAACTACCTTTGTTGATTTCCTACTTCACACAAGAACTTTGTCCACAAATACTGTAGTTTTTCCTTCTATAATAGTTGTAATTGTTTTTTACTCCCTGGTTCTAGGACTTCAATTCAGTGCCTGGAGGCTCTCTCTCTCGTGGCCAGCACTGTGCCACTTGAGTCCAGCTTCACTTTTGGCTATTTGGTGATTAATTGGAGATAAGAATCTAATAGACTTTCCTTCCTTGGGATGGCTTAGAACAGTGCTCCTCAGATCTCATCCTCCAAAATAGTCAGGATTACAAGCATGAGCCACCAATGTCCAGCTGTAATTGCTCTTTCACATTTCCCAATTCGTAGTGATTGTGCAAATGAAAGGACTGATTTTAGGCTGTTTACTCATAATAGTTACTGAATTCCTTGTTACCTCTTTCAATATATTTTAATCGGGGCTGGGAAGGTGGCTCAGTGGTAGAGCACTTGCCTTGCATGCATGAGGCCCTGGGTTCGATTCCTCAGCACCACATAAGCAAAAAGAAAAAAGCCAGAAGTGGTGCTGTGGCTCAAGTGGTAGAGTGCTAGCCTTGAGCTGAAGAGCTGAGGGACAGCGCCCAGGCCCAAAGTTCAGGCCCCAGGACTGGACCCCCCCAAAATATATATATATATATATATATTTTTTTTTTAAATCATTTGTTGGGAGGGGGCTTGTCACACTTCTAAGATTAAATTTGGTGTCATAGACATATTAAAATCTTCTTGTTTTTGGAAACATAGACTGAATAAAACAGTTTCAAAGTCAGCTTCCTCTAGCCTATAGACTGCATTACCTCCAACATTTTCCCAAGAGTTCTTTAAACCTCCCTGAAGTCATCTTGCCTAATAGGAAGGGCAAATGCTGCAGTGTGACAGAAAATGGGATTCAAAGGCAAAGCAGAGTTTTATTCCCTTGGTGATCTTTAAACATTATCTAGAAGGAATAGAAAATGAAGACCTTTAGGAGAGTTTTGCTATACCTTTGTCTACATCTCTTTTGAATGCCTGGCTGCCTGCCTACATTCCTAGATCTTTTCTTCCTCCCAGAAATTATTTCAAGTAAAGGAAGAGATAGATAGATAGATAGAGAGATAGATAGATAGATAGATAGATAGATAGATAGATAGATAGATAGATAGATAGATAGATAGATAGATAGATCCTAAAGCAATATAAGAAAAAGAATCCACTGCAATGTCTCAAAAACAGTTCACTTTTAGTTCATTGCCCTATTTGGTCAATTAGAAAAAATGTAAAAGACAAACACACCACAAAGCAAAACAAACAACCAGAAACATATGTCATAATAAAGATAGAAACAAAATTTCCCAGGAGCCTTAAGGAGGACCAGGGAGTCTCAGGTGATCGGTACTCACGGGTGAAATGGTTCGAAGTGGACGGATTGACACTGTCTCCGCTGTCAGCACTGTCACTGCTGGAAACTTCATCATCTGATTCCCGCACCGAGGAGCAGGGTGAAGAGCCATCAACTTCTTCAAACTTCCTCTTTAAAATTCCGCTCATAGCTGCGGTGCTGTCTCATGTACCTGCCACAGAGACAGGAGCAATGGAGCATTGAAATATTTGACCGCCGAATGTGGACCCAGCCTCCAGAGTCATTTTTATGTGGCTTTTTATACGTGAGCTGAGCCGTAGCTTTCCCTTGAAAGGAGCCCTAATCTGACTTTTATTTTTTTCATTGTTAAATTAACATAAATGGAATAAATATTTCACCATTTGGTTACTTAAAATATTTCTATCTTTTTTTTTTTAAGATGTGTTTTTTTTCACTTAATGTACTGTCACAATTTTTCTCCCCATGGCAAATTGAGAAAACCCATTTGAGTACCTGCAATTCTATAAGAAAAATAAATACCCATGTCCCTGGAAGTCTAAAATGATTACTACATTATTCAAAATTCCTCTGGAAGAAACACTAAAAGAAATAGGTAAAAACCTTGATAGTCAAGTTTTAAAATTCAAGGAACCCAATTAGCTGGACATAATAAAGCACTTGAAATCTCCTTGGAATTTTAGGGAGTTTCCATTTTAATAAGGTGAAATTTGTCCCCATGCTACCAAGTGACTGAAGCTGTTGTTACTTTTCTAGAAATTTTCTTAGGGTATTTTTGTGGGAGAGGGAATTAAGGGAGTAGGAAGGGTAGGGAGTTGCGAGTGGCATTCTTCTGTTTCCTGTTTGTTTTTGCCTCCTATCTCCCCTCCCTCCAGGAAGAAGCAGCTTTCTTCTCTCCAGAAGCTACTGTTTCTTCACATTTCCCTTCTTTACCTCAACACACACAGATAAAAGAAGTCCCCCCCCCACCCCGCCACACACACACACACACACACACACACACACACACACACACACACAATGCGAGGGGATTCAGGAAACAAGCTATATATAAATTAGCTTGGATTTATGTACATGATCTTACATTGTAAAATGTAAGCTGATAGTATTACTAAGTTGATTTCAATATTCCATCTTCTACCTCATTTCTGTCAGCTGATTTTAACTCTTATCTGAATTTCTGAAGTCACCCTCTCCTCTCACTGCAGGGGACAGCTGTCAGTCCTGTAGATCAAGAGGGAGCAAATCCCTTAAAACTATTCCCAGATCTGCTGAGTTACATTATCTCAGTATTGCTCTCAGAAATCTCTAAAACCAGCCTTTCTCTGTGCAGATCACAGAGCAAGCAGTCTGCTCAGATCCCTGATCTGGACCAACTCTCCAAGGTCTGATGCAGTAGTTTTCAAAGTGTGCAACTTGCATCAGTAGCAGCCAATATCACCTGGGAGACAGATGGTCAGAAATGAAAATGCTCAGTGCCCACCACAGATCTAACAAATCAGGAGGAAGTAGGGCTTCATGCTTTATGAAGCACCAAATCAGTTGATTTCAATGTACATTCAAATCTCAGGGATACCTGTCTATGCTCTAGAATGCTCCTGATTTTCCTTCCTGCAGACCATGTACCATTCCTAGGGAGGCACATACCCTGTACTCAATTCCTGATCAAAATCTCTTCTTTGGCTAGCCCCTATGTGATGTCTAATGAAAGTAAATACAGTAATAGAGGTACCATTATTATTTCTTTTTAATTTCAGTTTACTCATTCATGTAAGCATGTGCTAAGTAACTGGTATGCGTAGGTTGTAGGGGACACACAAGTTAGAACAAGTTACCTGCTCTCAAATTGCAAATACTTATCCTGCTGGGCTCCTTGAAGTAGAAAAGACCCAAACTCAAGTTCTACACCCTTTGCTTTTATTAATCCATGGCTTTGGTCCAATTACTATGTTAACATTTTATAATGTTTTAAGTTTATTTTTTAATAGTACTGGAGATTGAGCTCAGGCTTGCTAGGCAAGGAACTCTGCCACTTGAGCCATGTTCCCAATGCTATTTGCTTTAGTTACTATTGTATACTCAGATTTATGCACAGGCCAGCCTGTATCATTATCCATGTATTGATACCTCCTGCCATAGCTGGATGACAGGTTCATGAAACCATTCCAAGCTTTTATAGGTTGAGAGGAGTTTCTTGAACTTTGTACCCCAAATAGTCTTGAATAGTAATCTTCCCTAACTCTGCCTTCCAAGTAGTGTGAGCCACTGCACCAGGCTCATTGTCAACTTTTCTGAGAAAAAATATCTCTTTTAAATCTGATTTTATCACTATTCAGATTAGTATATTATTTCCTTCATCTAAAAAAGTGTGAAATGCATAAAATGTTCATACATATCTGTTCAGAGTGATGAGAAAAAATGGATATTTTAAGGAAAGTCTTGAAATAAAAGTAGGACAGAATATACATTTTAAAATGATTCACTTCAAACAAGATGCAAAGTAATTCAAGAGGGAGTGACATAAAGTAATATAAGATGGAAATCTATGTTTAAAACTATACAATTGTAATAAGAGATTACAATGGGAACAGCGAAAAACTCAAAGCCTTCTTAGTTCCCCACTCTTCTTTCCAAGGTTCTTAGGAAAGCAGATTACTCAAGAAGCAAGACACTCAATTAGACTACAAGGAGCAGTCTCACAACACCACAAAAGCATACTTGATGTCCTTCCCCCTTTTTCATTCTCAAGGATGAGAGAAAAGTTTTAGGGATGATATGACAATCAAAGTCTATCTGTCTGTCTGTCTGTCTGTCTCTCTCTCTCTCTCTCTGTCTTTGTCTGTCTGTCTGTGACTGTCTGTCTCTCTCTCTGTCTTTGTCTGTCTGTCTGTCTGTCTGTCTCTCTGTTTTATTAATACAAGTAAGAGTGGGACAGACAAGCAAACGAGTTGAAAGTTGGATGCAGTTTCTGCCTGGATTTGTAGAAGTGAGGAAGCTGAGCTAGTCCCAGGAGAAAAGAAGTGCTGGGAATACTATCTAAGCTAGAAATTAGACATTCAAATAACTACAGGAAAATGTAACCTTTCCAAATACCCATGAAACTGGTTAAGAACCAATTTGCTTGTGTAGCAATGAAGCAAAAAACTTGTCTAACCTCACTGCTGTATTCAAACCACTGGATGAGTGCCATAATGTCATAACAAAATAAGAAGGCCAAAGGACCCAGTGATGGCTGTGTATAACCTTCAGCCTACTTTACAGCGGAGCAGTAAAGGGACATGCAGTTTCTACCCACATCATCTAACCCATCTTACTCGGGGGGGAGGGGGGAGAGAGGAGGGGGAGAGGGGGGGAAGGAGCACAAGAGTTAGGGAGATGACTGTTAAGAAAGCCGTGTCTCAGCTGGGTCCTGGTGGCTCACACCTGTAATCCTAGCTACTCGAGAGGCTGAGATCTGAGGATCGCAGTTCAAAGCCAATCTGGGTAGAAAAGTCCGTGAAACGTTTATCTCCAATAAACCACCAGAAAAACCAGAAGTGGTGCTGTGGCTCAATTGGTACAGCGCTAGCCTTGAGCTGAAGAGCTGAGGGACAGCGCCCAGGCCCAGAGTTCAAGCCCCACGACTGACGAGAGAGAGAGAGAGAGAGAGAGAGAGAGAGAGAGAGAGACAGACAGACAGACAGACAGACAGACAGAGACAGAAAGAGAGACAGAGAGAGACAGACAAAGAGACAGAGACAGAGAGAGAGACAGAGACAGAGAGACAGACAGAGAGACAGAGAGAAAGCCATGTCTGCTTGGTTTGTTTATATACTGTGTTGATTCTCTCAGAATATAAGAACAATAGTATATGGCTGGATAGGTACAGTCCCATGTGAACAGGAGGAATGTCTATGATGTATCTCTCACAGTTCCTTAAGCACCACATACTTAGTCAGTTAAATTTACTCAAATAGAATCAAACAAAAAGGCATGTACATGTTTAGCAGGATTTATATAGCACTGAGGAACTCCCAAAAGTTAGAGAGGCATTCATTTACTCTGAATACAAGAAGCTGAGAGGTCAGCCTAGACAGCATTATCTGCCCACTGCTACCACTGTCTAGTTCAGGAAATGTCTAGTCCAAGGCACCAATGCTTCATTTGGACTAGGATGAAAGCCTCGTAATTATTCTCTCCCACCTAGCTAATGTTTTTTTGCTTGCTATGTGTTTTCCTGGATGAAGACAGAATAACAAATTTAAAGTGCAAATCTAGCACTAACTTAAAACTCTGCAGTGGCTTTGAATTTTCACCATATACAGTTCCAATCCTTGAAGTGGCTTATGAACTCTTTAACAATCTAGCTTAGTTGACTTCTTTATCTTCATTTTAAGACACTGGCCTTGTAGATATTTCATTTCTAGTAATCTTTCCATTTCTCCAACCTGCCATTTTATGACTTCTAGGCTGTTTTCTATACTTTTTCCTCTGATCTTTCCATTTCTTTTCACATCATTTACCACTTTCTACATCTTGATTTTTTTATCTACACATTTCTAAATTTAGTAGTTGTTGTTTTCATCCTATGCTAAAAGATCTATCATTGTTTTCACCTTATGCTAAAACATGTAAAGAGATGAATATTTGTTTTCTTCATTGACATTGGAGGGGCATAAAACAATGTTTTATAGGTAATAGATATTATGGGAATAGATTAAATCCTTTCATTTCTACACTTTAATTTCAAAAGGATGTCTGATTTCTCTGCTAGACTGGAAGCTCCAAAAAAACATATATCATCTTCACTTTACCTACCACATTACTTCCCCTTTCTAACAAAATATCTGGCATGTTTCTTTTAATGAGAATCAAAATAAGAGATAAAACGGGTCTCAATGTAACATAAAATGTTTCTGCTTCTGAGCAATAGAAAAGCCAATTCTAGATTAACAAAAATGAAAAACATGTTGGAAAAAGACTGAACAAATTTGCACTAAAACCAAACAGAAAACCAAAAATTTTAAATGCAGAGACCAGGAAGACTTCTGGAATTACAGCTGTAGAAATTCTTTTATCTTTTCCCTTGAGTTGTATTCTTACTAGTCCTAAGCTTCAGTAAATTGTACATCTCATAGTTCAAGTTCAATGCTCCAAAAACTGGGCCATTTTTTTTTTTTACCTACTTTGGATCAGGTGTTTGTCAAATGATCATTCAACTACTTAGCCAATGAGCAGAGAGGAAGACATAGGAAGCAAGGAGCCACCCAAATAGATTTTACTCCAGATAAGCTCACTCAGAAGCTTAATAACTTCAAATGTATTTCAAAGCCAACATCCTCTCCTCGTGCAACATGGTTTTATCTTATATCTTCATTCCGTATTTCAATTTATTTCTTGCCAAGATCTTGGGAATTCTCTGTCTCTGTCCTTCAAGACCTTGTCTTGAAGTTAAATTTAATTAAGAACTACCTTATTATAAAACATTAACAAATTATTTGTTAACAGGTTAGTTTAACTCCACCTATTCTATTTCACATTTCATTTGATGTAACCATGACTCAGAAGT